AAATAAAATTATTTCGAAGATATTCTTACTCAATTAAAATATTAACACTTCCTATGTTCCAACTCGCCAGAAGTTTCGAAGTGAATTAATTTGATCTTGGCAAGGTTGGTGCTTGAAATTAAAATATAGTTTCAAGGTACAATGTAGAAAAAGGACAAAAATCCAGATTTCAAAAGCTAGGATCTTCCCAAATGATAACCATATCTTGTTTCATGTGATATTAATTACATAGTATTTTATTATAAATGTTCATCAGTATTGATTGTGATTTGTGACATTTTTTAACATAGTGTGACATTGTTTAATATAGTGTGGCCTTTCTCATGAGAATGACATATATTCCGTTCATTTTTTTTCCCCTTTAATTTGGGATAATACGATGAACTGGATTAACTAACCACCAAATCAATTTGTTCTGGTACGCGTCTTTTGGTTATTTAGTAAATATTTGTTGTTATATACATTGTAGGTAGACTAATTGATGTGTGAGACGATCTTTACCGTTAGACGAGTCGATCTGTTATACTTTGTAAATTGATACAATTAAATTTCATACTTTAATTTATTTTACATTTTAGTGTATGGTATATCTTATTGTAAGTATGTAATTTTGTGTAAAAATAGTATATCAACCACTGTTCTAAAAATCGGCATTTTAGAATGTGCGTTTTTAGAACGTGCATTTTAGAGTATGGTTTTGCCACGACCCACCGGCGCCAGCGACGCCATAGAATGTGCATTTTAGAGTATGGTTTTGCCACGACACCCACCGGCGCCAGCGACGCCATAGGATTCTCTTCGTAAAAAATTGGCATTTTAGAGTATGATTTTGCCACGACTAGGCGCAGGGCGACACCCACCGGCACCAACGCACATTCTAAAATGTGCATTTTAGAGTAGGGTTTTGCCACGACTAGGCGCTGGTCGAGTATGTGCGTTTTTTTACGACGAGAATCCTAACAGAAGACCAACTGTTGTTTGAAATTGCAAAACCATTGTGATGTAGCGGAAACATAAGAAGGAGAAAACAAGAGATAAAACTCTCAAGAAAATATTCTTATTTCATAAACTTCGACCCTTGAATACAATAGAAGAGATCTCTTAAATAGAACTCCAAAAGCCCTAACTATAACTTGCCCAACAAAACAGGTTTTTTAATAAAGTAATAAACAAATAAATTTTCTAACAAATATAGAATACCACTAATACTAATCACATTAAATGAAATAAATAATTAAACTAATGATCTCCATTTTCCATCATTCTCTCCCTGTCAAAAAGGATTCGCCCTAGAATCCGATACAATCTAATCATCGTCAATATGCCCACACACAATGGCCCACTGCAAACTTGACGTGGCATGATTCCGTTGTAGCTCTAGAAGCCTCCATCTTTGACTTTTGTTCTCGGCGCCATGTGCAGTAACTCCCAAACTTTAATTGACATTTCATGTCACTCCTGTCAGCCACTTTCATATTGTAACTAGCTATATCTCAGACAATAGAAGGTTTATTATCCATGTAATCCTTTTTCGGCGTAGCTGTTGGCACATAAAAATCATAGGTACTGTTCTCAACTTCCTTAATAAAGTAATCAGCAACACCATTTGAGTTCAGCACGTAGAAGCAGATTTGACGAATGACTCGCGATTGAAGAAATCGAAAAGGACCGCCATGGGGGATAAACCATCAACTTCTGTAATTGAGGCCTCTTTGTCTGCAGAATCCATTGTTACATCCTCGACAATCGCCACGACACCCACCGGCGCCAGCGACGCCATAGGATTCTCTTCGTAAAAAAATGGCGGACCCTCATACTCGGTTGTCCTCTCATCATCAAAATGAGGCGGACCCTCATATTCGGTCGACCTTTGCACGTCTGCAAAAGCCCTTGAAAATTCGAGAATCTTGACTCAAAACAATGACTCCCAACACCGACCGTCGGCCAAATACTTGTCATCCCGTGCCTGATGACCGAATGGAGTAAACTCGGAGACGGTGTTTTCATCGCCACTGTCTTCAACCCATGACTGAGGCGACCGGGAGCGAGGCACCCTGCATGCACCCCAGCCACAACCCCCACGGCTCCCACTATGCTCCGTGCCGTGGGCATGGTATAACCGATCGCGTGGGACAGTGGTATGTACGACCACTCGCAGTTCCTCGAACCCTGCGAACAAGTCTGACATCTGATGACCCATGGCAGCGACTTGCCCGCCAAATCCCGCGACGATATCCGCGACTTGGCGGCTTAAGGATTCGAAAGTGGCGTCATAGCGCTCGTCGGCTATTTTGACTCTACTTGGCAGCATCTAGAATGTACTGGTCTCTGAAACCAACTGATGCAGCGAATGCATACGAAAGGAAAAACAAGAGATAAAACTTTCAAGAAAATATTCTTATTTCATAAACTTCGACCCTTGAATACAAGAGAAGAGATCTTTTAAATAGAACACCTAAAGCCCTAACTAAATATTTTGCCCAACAAGACAAGAGTTTTAATAAAGTCATAAATAAATAAGTTCTCTAACAAATCTAGAATACCACTAATAATAAGCAAAATAAATGAAATATTAATTAATTAATTAACTCCAATCTCCATCACACTGGAATCCAATTAATTAATTTTATAATTTTTAACATTAATTATTTTAAATATAATTTAACTGAAAGTGATTCTTTAGCTTAAAATTGACACGTCATTAACACGTTAATTTTAATGTTTACACAAACTCATGTGTTGAACATTTTAACGGTTAGGCGAGTCGACCTTACTCATGTTTTTTTAGAAAGAAAAAAAAATACAAAGAAAAAAAAATACATATTTATATTAAAAATATTATACTTTTGTCTACTATGCGTGTGGTTAGTTAGAGTCATGTAAAACTACTTTTTATATGCCAAGAATTATGAGACGACTTTTAAAAGTTTTCCTTATTTCCTCGAACTTTTGTCTACTATGCGTGTGGTTAGTTAGAGTCATGTAAAACTACTTTTTATATGCCAAGAATTATGAGACGACTTTTAAAAGTTTTCCTTATTTCCTCGAACAAATATGAAATCGATTCATAAACACTAGGAACTAGCAATTTATAGGGGAATGCTACCATCTCGTAACGGAACCATCCCGTAACGGGATGGTAGCATTCTCCCAATTCATAATCGACTTTGTTAAAATAAAAAGAAAATCCATCTGCATATATAACTTGTCACTAATTAAAACAGGATTTATAATATTCCATTTTTNATTCTCCCAATTCATAATCGACTTTGTTAAAATAAAAAGAAAATCCATCTGCATATATAACTTGTCACTAATTAAAACAGGATTTATAATATTCCTTTTTTTTTTTTTTTTCTGGCTGCATGCTTCATTTTGGGGCAAATTTGACTAACACAAAGTGTCAATGAGTTGGTATATTATCAGTCTTTTTAAGTAAAGTACCAACGTTCATTTTAGTGTAAACAAAACTAAATTTCCAAATTTTCTGTTTATATGAATTGTTCTTCAAGATGTCGCTCAACAAAAATAATGGATAGCTTAAATAGTTGCTGTATTTTTCACATTATATCACTTGCAATTTCTCCCATATATATTAATTAGATAATGCATTCATGTAGGAGAAACCAAATATCTTTTATAGTAGTCTCTCAAACATGTCGTAATTATTAGTATTTTCTTAAACCATAAATTTGTAGTACTCTCAAATAGTATAACACTTCAGTATGCAAGTATTGAATATTTATTGAAAATTTATAATTGTCTAACCACATAATGGTAGCATTTTCACCAATGAATTGGATAACACAAATTCTATTACGTACTAGACAAATATACTTATTACAAAAATGTATATTAATATCATGGAATTTTATATTTTGATTTTTTAAAATATGACATTTGATTATATAAAGTTGTTAAGAAAAATACTATTGGGTTACAACGTTTGAGTTTTGACACATCAAGGAGTAATATTATTTTACTAATTAAAGCGTGCATGTATATTTAGGCGTTGAAATAATTTACTGTGTGCGACTTAATTTTGTTTTTTAATAAATGTTTCAAGTATATATTTAAATATTTTTTTTTTTTTTAC